TTCTGACCCCCCGGGGATATCATCTGCGGCCCAACAAATCTGTACCAAAGCGCCACGGCCACAGCCCAGCAAATGAAATCAAATGAGGGCAGTCGGCAGGACTCTGCTACTCCGCCAATGTAGGAGACCGTCTGTAGGCCGTGTCACGGGATGCACCGATAAGGGGGAGGGGGGTCAGCCTCTGTGTACAAGCCCACTCGCCCTAATTTTGCATTTGGGACACGAGGGGTGTAGGGAGAGAACCTGCGATCGAGGTTGGGCAATGCCTCTTCAGGTTTAGTAATCACGGCCCTCCTCCTGACCGCCCCCCCCTCCCCGCAGCGAATAAGAATCGAACTGCCACGTCTTTTTCCAGACACATTCATAGCAGCCGACGGTAGGTCTGTTGGCTCGCGCATGAAGCGGTTCCTACAAATCGATGCATAGCCAGATTGATCCCCATTCTATATTTTCTCGCACTGTAGAATCCTTCAATCGCTGTTGCAGGCTGGTTATGCATTATCATCCACAGCGGGTTAGACTTTACTTCATCTCGAAACGACTGATTCCACGTTAAAGAATGGTTCGGCTTCCCTGGGCTCGGTATTAAAGAACGAGGACAAGCAATTCGTAAACCAGATTCTTCCCTCATTAAGGAATTCTACCACTCGTAGCCCGCCAGGAAGGCATTTTTCGGTCTCCGATACTTTTGTTTTCATCATTTTTTCTTCTCTCCGTCCGTATTTAAATTTTCTTATACATCGGTTGGCCTATTATAAAGCGATTTTTACCACACTTTGTTTATTTGAAATACAACAATGAGGTTATCAGCGCACGCCGCTAGTGCCGTTTAGAAGAAAGTCCAAGTTGGCCTATACTTTCGAAAATTCGTCAAGGAAATTCCTCCACAATGTCGACCATTGCAGTCTATGGCCATAGTGCATTGCTTGTGATTTCTTGGTGTTGCGTAGTTTGTCTAATTTTATGCATGGTCAATGGAGGAGGACGTTTTTGCTGAAAACGTTGGAATAAAGCGTTTCTCGCTCTCGGTCTCTGTCGACTTTGACAACAGATATGTCACATAATCTGGGTTGGTGGAGACTCCAGCTACTTCGACTACCGCTAAGCTATGAGATAAAATAATCTTGCTTAGCAGATTATTCAACAGAGCACAGTGTGTTTAAAGGCAAATAAAGTAAAACGTTTCGAAGCAGAGCAAACGGGAAAGGAAGGAAGCTGTCAAAGTTAAGACCCTGCCTCCACCCCAGGCAGAGGCATGCATTTCAGTAAACTGGTTCTGTAGCATCTGTACACGAAATACTCCACCCAACTACACACTGCGGGTCCACGCTAAATTCGCAAGTGAGGGACTTTCGCCGACGAAAAAAAGGTGGCATTTCTGTGCAACTTCCAAGTATCAGTCGACCAAATGTAACCAGACTACTCTTAGAGGTAAACAGAGGCTGTCTTGAAACCCCAAGCCAAATCGGTGTGTCTACCTACTTAAGTGTTCGGCAAGCTGCAGGGCACCCACGAATTTGAGCGGAAAGCTGGCCTCAAAGGTGATCTCGGCAACGCTGTCCTTGAGGTCGCCGGACATGCCAGAGAGCAGATTAAGTAGAAACGGCGGCGGTGACTGTGAAATCCACGTTTGGCAGGACATTGAGAGCCTGAGGGCTGTTTGCAAATCCGCTTCCTCGTCCATGGAGAGCTGGCTAGCCGAGATCAACTGTTGAGGCGGGGGGTGTTTTGAAGGCTGAAAAAAATAAAAGGTAGATCGCGCAGAGAAAATAATGGATCATGTCTGAATTTGCAACTCCAGCTTATATGCATGGTGGAGGGTGGTGGTAAAGAGGGCCAAGGGTTTACTGGAAACCATTTAACCACAGTAATGCTAATAAAACCGTAACAACAGAGTTGCCGACTACTGGTGGAATGCATATTTGTCGCTCTAACACGCTAGGATGTATCACTGTGTGTGGAGGTGCTACACAGTGTTAAGAGCTGCCCTGACAGACTTGAGGGCAGGCAGCGAGTCGCGCTCATGCCAGGCTATCGATCCGCCTACACGCAGCCCATGTAAACCGACAATGAATAAATAATTAAAAAATATACAGCATCGGCCAGGCTATGACTCTGACAAGCCAACCGGATGAGTCACAAGCCAATAAAAGCGCTACTCGCTC